AAGTATACAGTGCAATGTCTAGTTATTTTCTTAAAATAAAATACTTATAATTTTTATATTTAAAAAATAATATTTTTTAAATAAATATAATAATTAAAATTAATATTTACTTACATTTTTAATACTATATTCTAATCTGATAAGTAAATCATAACAATCCTATACAGTAGACCATCTTGTTTTTACTGAAGTTTTTAATCCTCCACCTTTTATTAAAGAGTTAATAATATCTTTTTGAAGAGCAGCACCAATATGATATGATGTTTTAAAAAATGATACTAAAGTTTAACACTTTTTAAAAACAGCTTTAGTAAAATCTAATTTAATAATATGAGAGGTTATAAAGTTAATATGATGAGCTATATATCTTATAGGTAAAATATAAGGATATTTAGTAGAAATTATTTGTTTTGCTAATTGCATAGCTGATTCTGCATCTGAAACAACAGCAACAAATTTTTTAGAATCAATTAAAATTAAAACCTTTTCAATTTCAGAAACATTAAAAGAACCTGTATGAAATTTGCTGATTCATCAACTAAAGAATAAATATATTGTTTTCTATTAGATGTAATAACTACAAAAACATAAATAGATTTTCTTAAAGAACTAGACCACCCATCTACAGCTAATAAATAATAAATTATATTAATATAATTAAAATTATAAATAATAAATAAAAATATATTTTTACCTAATGTTAAATTATTTTCATATTCAAGTTCCTTATTAATTTTAATTAAAACTGTAGAAATTCTTGATTTAAAATAGTTGATAGAAGTGTTTTTCTTTCAGGAGGAATATAACCAAGACAAAGACATTGAATAAAATAAGTATTAGAAACAATTTGATATTTTAACTTATATTCTTGTTTATTTTTTATATTTTAAATATAGAGATAAGTTAACTATTTTTAGTTAAATTAATATTTTTATTAATTTAAGTTAATTTATTTTAGATAATGAATGTAAAGATAAAGTATTTCGTGAAATTTGTTTACAAGCTATGGCACTTTGAAAAAATTTTGGTAGTAATACAAATAGTTGTAGAATTTTATTAACACAACTTCGAAAATATTCAGAAAAAGTTGCACTATATGATATGGAATATAGTGAAAAGCATGATACACCAGAACTTTGGTAAACAACTTGTAAGCAACCAGATAATTATATACAACAATTAGCATTAAAAATGTTTGCTATTGTTTCTCATTAAGCAGATTGTGAAAGAGTATTTTCAATTTTAAATTAGATGATTGAAAAAAGAGAACTAGGTAATTATTTTAATATTTAATAATATTTATAATTTTAAAAAGAATATTGTTAAATATTGCAGATTGTTATATTACAGATTAATATAATTAACTAATTAGATTTCAGGATCTTGTGTAATGAAAATGAAGAAAAAAAATCAACATTTTAAATATCTTAAAATTTCATTAAGTAAACTAGTTTTGAGCTTTAATTAAAAGTTTTTACCTTAATTTTGTATATATATGCTTTTTAACTTTAATACTAATATGAGCTTGAACTCTAATCCTAACTAATAATGATTTTAATTTTTTTAAAATATATATTAATATATAATATCACAATCTGCTAAATTTAACAAAAATCTATTAAAAATATAATTTTTTATTTAATAATATTAATAATTTATATTTAAAATTTATTTTTTAAATTAGATATTAATACTCTTCAATTAATGACACAAATTCATTCATTTTATATTACAAATATAAAATCCAAATTAAAATTTTCTAAAGAAAATTTTAATGAAAAAGAACTTGAAACTACAATTAATAAAATATTAGAAACTTTAATTGAAGATAATGATCTTTTTGATGAAGAAGAAAATGAAAATGATATTGATGATGATAATAGCTTATATTTAGATAATGATGATGAAGAATCAAATCTTAATGATTTGCTTATAGCAAAACTAATAGATTTAAATTTTTATAATGATAATGAGACTAAAAATAATTTATCTTTAACTAATTAACAACAATCAAAAGATGAAGAAAATTTAGAGATTAATTTAGAAACAATTCTTAATGAAGAATTTCAAAATTAAAGTATTATAATTTATATTTTAATAATTATTTTTAAATAACTAATTATATTTTTTCCTATTATAAGTTTTTTATTATAATTAGTACTTAAAACTAAATATATTTGATATAATTTTTTTTCTGTTGCAGGTTTTTTTATACTATAATAGTTCAAAAATATTATAGTTTTAAATATTTTTATTAATAATTTTATTTTATTTATATCTATTTTTATATATTTATATTTATTTTTTATATATTTATATTTATTTTTATTTAAATATTATATTTATTTTTATTTATTAAATTATTTTAAATTTTTTTTTTTTTTTAATGTTAAGGTGACCACTTTGGGGTCTGGCACGTTTTATTAAACTTTGGATCGAATGCCAGGGCAGCCACAGGGCTATCCCTGACTTTGTTACATTAACGAGGATCCATATATACAACTTTTGGTTGTCTATTTAAGCAGTCTTGCATATGTAACCCATATAAACTACACTAGATGTCATACCTGTAGCCCACTATTACTTGAGCTACCCAATTAAGCCCTCTGATCAACTTAGCACTGTCGGGATATTCTTCTCAAAGAGGAACTGCCGCTAAGGCCCCTTAGGACTTTAAAGCAGACACGCACTCCCATATAGAGAGGTCCTTTATCTTTGTGGTAAACCTACCAGAGCGTTCCATGTCCCATATATGTATCACCTAGATTTTCGGTAACTTACGTCTAGGCCACGACCAAGTACTTGCGGCTTTTTACCTCCACTACCATTACCTACTCTGTGCCCTTGTAAAGTTCACTCAAACCCCAGCACCTACTTTATGGACTATTAACAGTACTTTGATGCCAACCGTCGGTGCCCCAAACTCCCAATACAGATAGCCCGGGAGAGACCAGTAGGCGTTCTCTGGTATTCCGAATGAATCTTTTTTCCTCTGGCTGATCCGGCGGCCTGGTTGGTGTAGTGCTTGCCAGACACTCGGTCCTCGTTCAGTTTGCCTACGGTGTCCAGTTCCCCAGATAATAATCCTTTACGTAGCACCGTCGAAGATCTGTGTTACCTCTCTACTCGAGACTTTCCAAGCGGGCTTCCGTATCCCCCGATCCCTTGGATTTATTTGGCTGCTTCACTCAGGTTTCATGTAACTTATACGTTACACTATGTTCCACAACCTCCCAATACGAGTTGGTGAGACCAAAGTCACAGGTGCTTACCCGATTGATATGTCATACAGTTTTA